TTGGCTCCACATTCAGCTCATAACTAAATAAAAAATGCTGCATGACTATTAAATAAGATTACTGCAAGATTTGCATGCAGGTGCTCTCTTCTCTTCTCTTCCCCCTATTTTTATAAGGAAAGTATATTTATAATGCAATATGCTAATCGACATGGCCTTTACCACTGTATATAATACTATCATTCTGTAATATGAAATCACGTCTGATCACAAAAAGAAGCATTTCAAACACTCGACTATGTTATTAAGTTAATTTGGAGAAAAACATGTCAATAAATGATATCTTTGTTGGACAACAGGTTTGCAAACAGGCTCATACACATGCAAAACTGTATCACACACGTGCTACTGTACTACATTAATTCAGACCAATTTTTTTGTGCACTGTACTGCCCTAACCAAACCAGTTACAGATTGTAAAAGAAGCTCGAGCTCCTCAGTTAGATACTCCTCAATTTCACGTCCGCCAGTCGCTCTGCACTGTCGCACACAGAAATATGTAAACAACTAGACTTTATCGTTATTATCGTGGGAAGACTTATTCTTATCGTGGGGAGAATTTTTACCGGTATATCGCAAACGATAAGATATCGGCCATCCCTACCCACAAGTCAACACCTCAGTTTTGTTTGTCAGCAGTCATGCTGCTGCAAGCAGCCTAACACAATCAATCATTTTAAACTGAGTCTGCAAACATAGGTATTGAATGGATATCTTAGAGATCTAAATTTAAGTATTCTCTCTGTGGAGGTTCTTGCTTCTGATTGAGTTACTCTAGTGTTATCGTTGCCTGCATTGCATTGCTCTGTCTGTGTGTTAGCTCAGGGTATTCTATAAACCAACAGAAGCATGGCAACATTACACTTGGACCCTGAAGTGAAGTCTTCACTGTTCTATAATCCCAGCTACTTCAGGGCAAAGGCTGGTGGTGTCATGGCATTGGAGTGTGACATCACAGGAACTAACAGATTAGTTATGTTAGGTTTGCGGTTGGCTTGTTTGGCTGTGTTTTTGTTTCCTCATCAGGCTTGGGAGCTAAGAAGAAATGACTCACTCTCTTGCTCTCACTGTCAAATCAACTGTTCAGTCAGCAGGAATTCAGCTCTGTGCGTCTTTCACAGCGTTAATATTTAAGTGAGAATGTTAAATGTTGCTTTGTGCAATAAACACTGTGTGCTACTTGTGACACATATTTTGTTTCATATGCAACTCACTCACTTTTTTCTTCTGTGGTTCTACAGTGCTGAGCACTGACCTTATGTGGTTGCACAGTGACAACTCTTATCCATCACATCCTGACCAAGGGCGGTCTATGTCTCTTCTCTCTCTTACACACAGTCACATTTCAGACTTCTGTCTGCATGTGTATGGCTGTAGAGGTGGTGCTTCAAATGACAAATTTGAGAAGAAACTTACAAGTTACACTTGTTTTAAATTAAGTTTAGAGGAGCAGACAAGTTTCTGTCTAAGCTTAGAGGGGCAGACACGTTTTTATTAAAGCAATCCAATCTAATAATCGAATACTTTTGTATTGTATTTTTAATTATATATATACATAGTACATTTTTAATTATAAAGAATAATTAAAAATTAGTTTATATAGCTATAATGAAATATAATAAATTTTGTATATAATAGCCTACATAATATATAGAAAATTGTTTAATTATTTAATATTACATAATATACTATAATAAAGTATATTATATTAGTGATCGACCGATATTGATATTTTATAACCGATACCGATACCAATTAAGCTCCCGAGCGCTTTGGAAAGAAGGAGAAAGCGGCGCGGCTGGCATTTTACACACGTTTTTAGGCGCGACATGTGAACGGCCCCAAAGTCCGTCTACACTGGACACACTGTGACTTAATGTACTGTGTAGCTTATATTGTAAAATGTATTTTATTCCTGTAATGACAAAACTGAATTTTCAGCAGCCATTTCTTCAGTCTAATGTGTCACATGATTCAGAAATCATTCTAAAATGCTGATTTGATGCTCAAGAAACATTTCTTATTTTCAGCTGACTTCAAACTTTTGAATGGTAGTGAATGACTTTGAGTGTGATTGTGAAACTTGTTTGGACCCTTTGTTTTCTTTCAGGGCATTTTTTTTTCTTGTGTTTCCAGTGGTCACTGGTAGGATTGCATTTGGTTTGTTTTTTCACTCTGTGTGTGTGAGCTAGTGACAAAACTGACGTTTGTTTGCTTTGAGGCTTTTTACTTTTGAGGCCTCGTGGTGTGGTTTTATGAGCGCTGCGTGTATGATACAAACAGTCCAAGTGATATTTATAAGGAACTGCAACAATACTTGGTGTAAATCAGTTTGTAAGAATGATAGTTTGAGTGTATGATCAGTGTAAAAATTGCCATCATATGTTTGTCTAGCATACTTTGTTTTTTTACTCCAGATCTCCATGTGATGACAAATGTGGTACATGTGGTAAAAATTTGTACATTAGTACCCATGTGGCAAACAACAAAAACTTCTAAATGTTAACTAAAACAACATTTAGAAAAACGTTAACAAAAAAATTAATAAAATAATAACAAAACCTATTTGCCCAGGAAGCATTTCTCATTAACATTTAGTATAACTAAAATAAAAATGAATAAAAGCTATACAGACATTTAAAAACACAACAAAAAATACTAACATTTTAAATTAAAAGGAAAACAGAAAATATGAAAATGAAAACTAATTCAAACTATTAAAGGGGTCATATGATGCTGCTAAAAAGAACATTATTTTGTGTATTTGGTGTAATGAAATGTGTTTATGC